GCAAATATTATGTCTCAAGTCTGTAGTTTACCTTTTTATCCATTCACCACTGTTTTTCACAGAACAGAAGTTTTTTAAGTTTAAAAATTCTTTACATGGCCTTAGGTCCCAAAGATTTTCATCTATGCTTTTTCTAAAAGTTTTATAATTTTACATTTTACATTTAAGTCTGTGATCTATTTGAAGTTAATTTTCATAGTAGGTATGAGGTTTAGGTCAAGGTTTATATTTTTGTGTATGGATGTTCAATTATTCCAATACCATCTGTTCAAGTCTCTCATTTCTCCACTGAATTACTTTTGCATCTTTGCGAAAAAATCATTTGGGCATATTTTTGTGCAGGTCTGTTTTTGTGTTGTTTATTCTGTCCCATTAATTTATGCTTCTTCCTCCACCAACACCCAATATTCTGCCAATACCCTGGCCGAGGACTGTGAGGCCCTGATTACAGACTGGTAGGAGTGGAAGTCTAATATCTCCACCTTGATTTTTGCTTGTATTGGAGCAGGGAAGTGAGAACAGTTTCTTCTCTGATGTTTGGTTGGAATAAAATAGATGTTAATGACTAGAAGTTTTTGGTCTTGTTAGTCTGCCTCTTTGGGACCTTTGGCTAGAGAGAGTAGACTTTATTGCCTGCAACTGTATTTCTGGATTGCCTGCTTCAGCTCCCTGTCTGGAATGTATAAGGCAAAAAGAAAATAATAATCTGGAAAACGTACCACCATGTTGTTTCTTACATGCTGACATTCCTAGGCAGTCTGTCTTTTTCTCTGTGCCTTTCGGAGTCATCTTACATTTGTTTTATATATAATTTCCATGGATTTTAGTGAACTCAGTGGGAGGAACAAGAAAAAATAGACCTACTTCATCTTTCCAAAAGCAGAAATTTGACTCATAAAATTTTTCCTCCAGCCTGGATCTTTCTCTGTGGTTCAGAAACAGGTATCTTCACTGTCATGTCCTTTTATACGTCTCAAAAGGCACCTCAAATGTAACTGGAGCTCCAAGCTGAGCTGTTGCACCACAGTCTTCCTCCTACACAAGGAAAAAAAAATGTAAAGCTTTTTTTTTTGCACCTATTTTTTCCTCCAATTCTAAACCAACATGAAGTCCTCTTGATTTTTTTCTTCAAGGTATTTTTTAGGTCTTCCCACTTCTCCATATCTGCAGGACAGAATCTTAATATAAGCTGTTAGCAGATCAGATCAAAACTTTTTGGGCTAGCAGGTGGCATGGTGGTTAAGGGAACTGGATCCTACATGGCTGACTGTTGGTTCAAGTCTTGGACCAGGTGGCTTGGAAAACATGCTATGTGTGTGTGTGTGTGTGTGTGTCCAAAATCCTGAGGAGGGAATGGAGCAGAAGGAATTGCAATGTGGCTATTCCCCCTGGGGAATGCTTTCTCACTTTCCTTCCAAAAGATGGAATTTCTGAAAAAAGTCTTATCTGATCTCCATATACATTCTGTTTCAAACTTCATATTATAGCTTGAGCAATCTTTTTTTAAAGAAAAGTTTTTGCTATAGGGAACATACACTCACCAGAAAGCAATAAATCACCCCCCAGGGGGATGGTCATGCCTTAATTCTTCTCCTCCAGTCTCCTTTTAGGATTTTGGGCATGCATGCACACATGACTATCATGAGTTTTAAGCCACCAGGTCCGGGACTTGAACCACAGTCAACTACATCAGATTCCAGTGACATAACCATTATGCCATCTGCTGGTCCCTTGAGCAATCTTTTCTAAACACTATTGCCATTACTCAGTAAGTTTATGTTTTTAACATACCACTTTTAAAAATACCTTTAACCTCATCTAAAAGCTGTATACATATCTATTACAGATGCTCAATAAATAGTTCTTAAGCATAACTATAGCTCTCTAACATTTTGGGCATGTGTCTTACTAACTTCAAGTCATGAAATGGGCAGAAACATACCCCAAAACTCTGTGTATCTTTGGTGCAATGACAATTTGTAAATGCTTAATGATGATGACCCAATAACTTTATATACAATTATAGGTATGGTATGGTTCAAAGGAACTTCATGCAAAAGTAATTAGCACACATTAAGTTATTAATTGTCCTACTATTTCCCATATTGACTGAATTTGTTTTTTAATAACCATTGCTTATTTTTAATATAAATATCCTTAAATTTCCAAGCATATATACATTTTTTTTTTTGGAGAGATTTTCACTGTAGGGCGCGTGCGCTCGCCAGACAGAGAGAGACATAGAGACAGAAAGCGAGAAATCACCCCCCAGGGGGGATGGTCACGCCGCAATCCCTTCTCCTCCATTCTCCTCTCGGGATCTTGGGCACGCACGCACACGCGCCCGGCGTGAGTTTTAAGCCACCGGGTCTGGGACACGAACCACGGTCAACTAAGTGGGTGTCCAGCGACATAGCCATTACGCTAACTGCTGGTTCCCCAAGCATATATACATTTTTAAACAACTAACTTATTTCTCACTTCTGCTAGAAATCTATAAAACGCTCATTCTCAGCATTTTCATGGAGTTATTACTTTAGAGGAAGACCAGTCACAAATTAATATGTAAAAAGATGAACTTTGACAACACAATGATAGAATGGTAGCAGATAAGTTAGTTGTCATGAGTCTCCCACATAAATGTTAAATGATCGCAAGCTTCTCACTGTGTGAGCCGGTTATTGTTGCACTGTTGCATGTAACAGGGCACCATCAAAACAGTCTATCAGATATTAAGACTATCTGAAGGAAAGACGGAATGTTCCCTCTTCCCTTGAAAATCATATAGGTCAACGAAGAAAAAAAAAAAACAAACAAACAAAGAACTACTAGCAAGAGATAGGTTACTTAGGGAAGATTTCATGCAAAAAAAAATTTTTTAATCCTGAACTCTAAGGCAGTGTTAGGGCATCCAGTGAGAGAAAGAGAGAGAAATGTGGCCAGAGGTGGGGGGAAATGCATGAAAAAGGCTCAGAAGAAAGACTAGTAGGTAAACAATGATAAAACCGCTAGTCTAGGAGGAGAAAAAGTAGAATAATTACAATGAAAAAATTTCCATAGTATATTTATACAGGTATAAATGAGAAATTTTTCCATTCAAAGTCTAACAATGGCATAGACCCAGAAAGAGCAAATAATTTCCAAAATCTTTTCTCTTGCTATAACCACTTTATACCTCAGATATGTAAGTAATACTTAAACTTCAGAGATAGACTATATTACATTAATTCTACAACCTAAGAATACATTGATGTTTAAAAAACTCCTCACTATAGGTGCTCAATAAATTTTGTTGAATGGATGAATGAATGAATGTAAAGCATCTCAATTGGACATTCAGTGGTAACATGGAACACAGTGTAAAATTTCTTAATAAATTTTTAAATAAATAGCATAACTACAGCCAAATAAAGTCAGATTATTTATTTTCTTTAAAATACTTCAACAGCTGTTGCAGTTCACTTCCCAGATCAGCCAAAAATGCCCGAGTCATGGCTTTCTGATATGAATATCCTTATTTCTGAAAGGTCTCGTTAACTAAGAGATTAGTGGGATTTTCTACTCTATTATACTTTTATTAAAATACCTAAGCATAGCTACAATAGAGAACAAAATTACTCTGTATTATTGAAAAATAATTCAGCAGCCCCACCAATAATCTGTGACCTTTTTCAATTATGACTCGGTCTAATCTTGCTTATATCTAGGTTACTGGGGTCAAATTTGATTTTAATTCATTCAAAAAATCTTTATTTTTAAATAACTTCTTACCCAGAACTAAATTCTCATCTCAGATGCTTCTAGGAGAGTTTAGGTAAAACTGGTATCAAAACTGTCTCACCGCAGCTCTCATTCAGTTGAGTGAGGCCTCATCAAAGAGGTGTATTTCCCATCCTCCCTCTAGACCCTGTTGCAAGTGCTAACTCTTCATCTCAGGCCTGTCTATACTTTGAATCACAGGAGAAAAATATGACAGTTTGGGAGAAAACAGGACTGTCTTCTCTCTGGTCCTTTGTTTTCCTGTTTTTCTACCCATGAGACTACAGGGGGTGGAATTATTTATGTAATAACATAGCCTGCTCCTATTCCTCCTTTATGATCAATACTTTTACTGAGTCTAATATGAAATTAAATATAGCTACATTTGTTTTCTTTTACTAAGCATATGGCAGTTAATTGGTAGCTTTATTTATTTATTTTATTGTATTTTTATTTTCATAAATTGGCTTCTGGAAAACCTTGTCATTACAATAGCTTAGCTTTTACCAAAACTTTGTTCGAGTCAACATACCTTCTAAGGAAAATTAAATGTTTTTAAAAAATACTGTAATGTCAAACACATGATCTATCATTTCAAAATTTATTAGTAAAGGGACCAGTAGTTAGCATAATGGCTATGTCGCTGGACTCTCATGTAGCTGGCCACGGTTCGAGTCCCGGACCCAGTGGCTTAAACTCACACCAGGTGCGTGTGCGTGTGCGTGTCCGTGTGTGACCAAGATCCCAGGAGGAGAATGGATAAGAAAAGATTGCGACGTGTCCATCCCCCCAGGGGGTGGTTTCTCGCTTTCTGTCTCTCTGCCTCTGTCTATCTTTGGTGAGTGCACGTACCCTATAGCAAAAACCTTCAAAAATAATATTTAATGGTAAATATACTTTCTGTAAAATTCTTGCATAAATATCACCTTATTAATTGGGCCCATATAATATTTTTAATGGCTAATAGTCTTACCCAAGTGTAATTTGGAATTAGATATTTGAGACAATGAAGGTTGACTTTGTAAAATAACCTTTCCTCTCTGTTGCAGTCCCACTATTCAAAGCCTACAATAGTAAGATTCTCCCTATGTCCCACAATGAAGCAGTTTCATCCATTAGAGTACAGAGAAAATAACAAGAAAATTCAAATGTAAATAAATTGTCATAACTCACTAATTTAATTCTCCTAAGCATTTCTTCTCCTGTTCATGATTGCTCTTGCTCTTGTTTTCTGTTCACAGGGACCGAGCTCCTTTTATTTTTACTTCAGAGATGGAGTACTTCATTACAGAGGGTGGGAAGAACCCACAGCATTTCCAAGATTTTGTGGAGCTTTGCTGTCGAGCTTATAATATTGTCAGAAAGCATAGCCGACTGCTCCTGAACCTGCTAGAAATGGTAAGTCCCTTGAGAAAATAAGAAAAATAATAAGCTTCATTTATGTCTTGCTCTCAGTCATCTGTTTTTGCTAATGGTTTGGAGTTCCCCAAAGAGCTATTCAAAACGGAAAGGAATGTACCATTGTACAGCTTATAAACATGTTTCTTAATAATTCAGTACGTTAATTCACAGTTATTGTCTCCAACATTCCTGTTCACAATAATATTGATGCTGGGACTATCCCAGCATGGTCTGACTAAGGTTCAAGGACAGTACTTTAGAAAATAATTGATACTTCAATTATATTATGTATTGGGATTTTTCAAAACACCATCTCAATTACATATCATGGCAACCTAGTGATGTAAACCCCAGAAGGACCTTTCCTGGCTCTCTGTTCCAATCTTGGCCTATTTTCCAGATTAAGAAGCAAGCTGAAAAATGTACAGTGACTTTCTAGCAACTCAGAGAATATTTAGTGTATACATCGAGTCTAATGAGTCATGATCAAAGACATTCTCTGTTGGCCAATTAGGGAGAATTTGAGGATACATTCCATTGTCTGATTCAAAGAGATGGAAGTCAGGTATGCAGGACATGGGACAAGGGACCTGATAGAAATATATTCTGGGAGAAGGAGTGATGATTTCTTTGGGCACCACCTTTACCCTCACAACTACAGGATCTGTAGGAGAGAAATATACTGTGGGTCTATCAGTATGGGGTTTGGAGCCAATAAAGAACAACTGATTTAGAGCTTTGATGTAACAATAATTCTACTAGATGTTGTTAAAGGGCACAGGATTGGTGGCTGAGAATCCCTATCCTATTTTGGCATTTCACTGGCTACATTCCTCAGGGCAAGTTACTTAACCCCAAAAAGACTCTGTTCTCCCTTATCTAGTCAATGAAGATAATAGCATCTACCTTGTAAGGTTCATGAGTAAACAACCTAATAATGAATACTTTGCATGGGCCAGCCACTGTGCTAAGTGCTTCATGTGAATTAATTCATTTAAATTTCATAATAACCCTAGTACATAATTCATATAAACACTTAGCACAGTATCTATCATGTAGCAGTGTTCAGTTAGTTTATGTTATTAGATTCTTGCTAGAATTCTTATGTTACTAGATTCTTGCGAATGTATGAGAGTACTGTCCAAAGTAGTACCTTTAGTCATGTGTATTTCTTTACATTCAAATTAATCCATATTGAATAAACTAAAAATTCAGTTCCTCAATCTCACTAGTCCCATTTCAAATTCTCAACAGCCATGTGGCTGGTGGCAACATATAGGACCACACAGATATAAAACGTATGTCATTGCAGAAAAGTTCTGTTGGGATACACTGTAAAGTTATATGTAATCCAATGTAATATAAAGAAGATTATGATGATAATAAAAAATTTAAAAAAAAAGATATAGAAACACAGTAACTGTAGGTAAATACCAGATATAGAGTGTGTAAAAGAGTAGAGTCTGAGGAAGGACATTTAGAAGAAAAATAGGCAAAACATTAATAGGACAAAGAAATATGGTATTATCTGTTGAAGATATTTTTATAGTTTTATCAACTGGAATAGAGAGAAACATTCACATGTTGAAATATTCAGTTTGTAATGTGATTGAATGTAAAAGAGAAAATGAAATAAAAAATGTAAAAAAAAAAAAGAAAAAAAAGAAAAGTTCTGTTGGGTAGTGCTGAGTAAATATTAACTTAGTTGAAATGAATATTTTGTCTGGATTTTAATTTCACACACTTTAAATATTTTAACTTACTTCTTCCCTTTCTGTCAGGAAGAAATAAGGATTTCTAAAAATATTGTAAACATATCCTTTGTGTACGAAGACACTTAAAGCTACAAGTTCAGAAGTCTGTGACCTTGCCTGTGCTTACGGAGTAGCTATTCAGTTGCTATCAACTCTAGTGTTCCTCTGATTCCTAGCAGTCTCTATCCCACAAGTCCATGAGCTCTTGGGAGCCGATTACATGCCAGATAGATAGAGGATACATTAACATGTGAGAATCAGCCAGAGACCTAGAATTTTCACTTTAATAAGGAAGATAAAATTCATCTACACAAGTAACTGAGATATCCAGCATATCTGTCAATAATGCTATAAATAACTGTATACAGAGTAGTAACAAATTCTAATAACTGCTTTAAACAGCCGCAGGCACTTCAAAAATAAACCCAAAGCAGAAAAATAGCGATATGGTATTTGCCATATCTTAGGTGACACTAAAATTATGACAATTGAGTTTGTTAAAATTATATAAGAAATCATCTTTGTGGAAAAAAAAATAGATTCAGAAGCTATTGGTAGACTTTTTGTTCTTGTTTAATAAATTTGTCTACATACCATTTTTAAAATCTGCATATGAGTCAAATATTAGTAATCGATCATGGAAGAAATTTTGTAATATTACTTTATCTAAAAGAAGTAGTTACATGGTATTTTATTCACAAATATTAAAATAATTTCTTATAAATAATATTAAAACCTGCTATTGATGGTATATAGTATATTAAGAATCTCCCTATGTTCTAATATTTCAGTTCTTTTAGGGTAAGTAAAAAATTTGGTAGTGGATCCACGAATTCAGATTAACCATATAATCTTAGATTTAGACTGTCACAGAAATACAGATCTGAAGTGATATGAACCAACTAAACTAATGAATAAATATTGTCATCAGGAAAGTCATGACATATCTTTCTACATTTTTCTATACAAAAATGTGTCATGACTTTCCCCATGATCCCATATGTGTGTGTGTGTGTGTGTATATATATATATATAAAAGCAGCGTTAGCCTGTTGCTAGTCATTTGTTTCTTAATTCTCTTCTTCTTCTCAAGCATACATCTTATGGGACAGTAGCTAATCATAGCATTTAGTTAAGGTTTCAGAGCCACACTTGCTCTGCCATAGATTCTTATAAGATAAAAACTTGAGTTCAAGTTTGTGGAAAATAATTTTCTCTACATCTAGGTAGTCTATCTTTCTCTCAGTTCTCTCCTGGTTGTGTTAAATTCTTTGAAAATAATTCCACCTACTATGCCATGACCCAGTTACAACTTGAGAAATACTTGACATGGCTCATAAATTCTATCTTCTGTGAATGGTCAGTCCCCAGGATTATGATCCTGAAGCATTTGGTGGGTCTAATATGGAGTTAATGGCTCATCCTCCATGGAGAGCAGCCTGTTTCCAGATATCTGCAGTGCTTTTTATTTACTCTGGGGAAAAGCAGGGCAAAATAATCCATGAAATTCCCATTTTGCTTAAAAAGAACATCTGTAGGAGACTTGAGAGTGTTGCTGCCTGAGTTCACCAACATAAAAGCCTGCATTTCATCAGCTTTTCTCTCATTAAAAAATCAATATCAACTATTATGGAAGGATCCCAAATAACACAGGGACCATTCACCCAGTTTAAAATGTTTATCATACCCATTATTATATCAGATATTTCCCAGCAGAAATCTTTCTCTGTGGTGAAGAGTATCTGCTTGTCTAAGCATAATTATCAAAATAGATTTGGGCTTAGTGGGAGGAGAACAGAAGGGACTTTGTCTCTTCACTACCTGTAACTATTCATTATCCATTCTGGTCACCCCTTCCTTTTCCTATTGCAACAATTAAAGGCTCATGCAGTCTAGGCTAGGAGGCACTTTAACTATGTTACTGTGGCTCAGAGAACAGACCTCGCTAAGTGGACCTAGACGTAAGGCCATGCTGCTCTGTAACAGGCAATCACAGCACCCAAAGTCGCTCTCCAAGGATTGGATCACATCCTTAAGGGTGGACGAGGCACTTGTTACCTTTAGTAAGCAATGTGATGGGGAGAAAGCTAGGATCATCTCGTGTGAAACAGTTTGGACTTGGAAGCTGTGTGTGTGTGTGTGTGTGTGTGTGTGTGTGTTGTGTGGGGAAGGACTAAGTACAGGGTTCATGTCCTAAGGAAATGTTTAAATCCTAACTAGTGAGTTCAGGGTATCCAGAAAAACTGGAAAGTGATTCAGACCCAAGGAAAGAAGACTGTTTTTCAAAAATGAATGGTCATGATGTGATTTAAAAAGATATTTGCCTCAATAAGCACACAGATGTCTCTAGATTTCTAAATACAGAACTGATACGATTACCGTAATCCAGATTCTAGTTGCTGTGTCTTCCTATGACAGATTTTGTTAAATTTAGTGGTCAATGTCGAATGTGGTACTTGTGTGTTTTCAATGCCTGATAGCATGAAGTATTCTGTTAATGCATTATTGATTTATTCATTCCTGTACTCATTGCTTCACAGACATTCACTAAGTTCCAACTGCAGTAATGTGGCACATGACATTTCGATCAATAATGGACTGCTTATATGATGATCTCTCTATCAGACCCCAATAGGCTATATCAGATAGCTCACACGCATAGAAAGGTGTACCATCTCGCTTTGTATACGTGCACTCTGAGATGCTTGCATAGTAACAGAGCTGCATAAGGACTCGTTTTTCAGAATAAACCCGTCAATAAGCAGTTCATCGCTGTGTTCACAAAGCACCATGTGCTTTCAGCACCGAGTAAAGCCAGTTCCTGTTCTCAGAGAACTTAAAATCGAATGTGACAGACATACATAAGAATGAAATATTGTAAAAGTTAGAAGCAATAAGTACTGTGGAAGCAATAGAATGAAGATATGATCACTATGCAAAGAAAGCAGTAATTAAGTCTCATCAAGAGAATCAGTGATGCTTCAGGGAGGACTATGTCGGAAATGGAGATGATCCAGTGTACCTAGTCTGTAGAAGAAAGGGAGATCTCTGTAGAAAGAAAAGTTGAATATTCTGGATGGGAAATCACATTTTGTATGCTGTGATGATGCTTAGGGAATAATGTAAACTAATTAATTTTTAAAAAAATGTTTCAGAAAAAAACGCAAAAACTGTTTTTCTTTAAATTAAAAAATAATGCATTAAAAATAAAACAAAAAGAAGGAAAAGTTGGGGACCAGCAGTTAGCTCAATGGCTATGTTGTTGACCTCCCATGTAGTCGACTGCGGCTTGAGTCCCAGACTCAGTGGCTTAAACTCACGCCAAGTGCATGTGCGTGTGTGCCCAAGATCCTGAAAGGTGAATGGAGGAGAAAGGATTGTGGTGTGACCATCCTCCCAGGGGGTGATTTCTCTCTTTCTTTCTCTCTGTCTCTCTCTGTCTCTCTGGCAAGCACACGTGCCCTATAGCAAAAACCTCTCAAAAGAAAAAAAAAAAAAAAACAAGGAAAAGTTGGAGTGATAGGTTGCAGTTAAATTTATGACCAGAACAAGGATTTTAGAGCTTAGTGCATAGACACTTAAGAAACTAGACATGTGTTTACCTATAATAAAGAAAGTACTATTATCCTGTTTGGATTTCAGACAAATAGCTCAGGGATTATGTGGTTAAAGATATAGGGATTGGAGAGCAAGAAAAAAAGTTATTCTAAAAACTTAGACAAATGACGATGAGCTGAACTAGGACAATGATAACTGCAATTGAAAGGGGGAAATAATATAAGAATTTGTTGAGGTACTTTTCTTTAATTAAGCAATTGATGATGGTAATCAAGAAAAAGAAAGAATCAGGACTGGCCCTAGGGCATGATGGTTAACAGAGCTGGATCCTACATGATCAACATGTAGTTTAAGTCCTGACCCTAGCAGCCTGAAAAACATGCCAGGCACATATATGTGCATACCCAGAAAAATCCTGACAGGACAGAGAAATGAAGCAGAAGGGATTGTAGTTTGACCATACCCCATAAGGGGAGCTTTCTCCCTCTCCCTGTCTCTGGTGAATGTATGTGTCCTCTAGCAAAAAGAAAAAAATAGGGAATCAAAGAATATATGAATGTTTTGTTAGATAGTAGTAGAAGTACAAATGAGAACATGGAATGAGACACAGGAGGGAAAGTATATAGGAGAAGAGAGTTTGCTCAAATTTATATATAATAAATTTGAGAAGCTAATGGATCATCCATGAAGAAAGGAAGTTGACAACTCTCCAGGACTAATAACTCCCAAATCTATATTTATAGCTGTGTGCTTTGGAGCCCTCTCAGCCTGCCCAATATAGCCAATCAATCACCTAGTTTTCTCAACTCTAATTTATACATCTATTTAAAATCCAATCACTTATCTCCATTTCTAACCAATCTCCTAGTCTAGTCTTTTTTTTTTTTTTTGACCCCACTTCAATCCATTTCCCATACAAAACCACAATAGTCTTTCTAAAACACAATTCACGCCCATGTTAAAGCACTCTTCCTCTTAAGAGCTTTCTCCTGCCCTTTGGAGAAAGTATGAAATCTTTAATATCATTCAAATATCTCATGCTACTTGCCTTTCACCCCCACCTCTTCTGCTTACCTCCATGATAGTCTGTGCTTCAGAAAGCCGTCGGGATTTCCTTCTGTGAATACACTGAGGGCATCCTGCTCTGCTTTGCATTGCTGCTTTCTCATCCTGGGTACAGAGGACAGGAAAGAAGAAGAGTTTCAAAACCACTTCTTCTCATTGAATTTCACCAAGTCAATCATGACATCACCAATCCTCCAAAATAACATTCTCACTTTATCCTTTAGGGTTAGGATGAATAGTAGTCTTAACTCCTTAGTAGAGTGGTGCCTTAACAGAAGATACCTTTTCACCTTAGTCTTTGTGGTCTGAGCGCCTTCTCATTCTCTTTATTCTCCTCCCCCCTCCTCCTTTTTTTCATAGTTCATATTTATTTCTGAAAGGTCTACTTTTTTTCCTCAAAGAATTTTGTTTATCTATAAAAAGAATATTAACATTTTAGTCTACACTGTAATATAAATAAAATATCTTTCTGAAGATTGGCAGAAAAACACCAGTATAATATTTTTTAAGTTGTTTTGTTTTGTTTTGCTGTAGGGAGTGAATAGGTTCTTAGGAGAGAAACAGAAAGAAGGAGAAAGTGGAAAATCAGCCTCCCGGGAGATGCCCACTGCAATCACGTCTTCATTCTCCCTTCAGGAGTTTGGGTGCACAGGCAAACATGCCTGGTGTATTTTTCAAGCCACTGGATTTAGTACTTGAACTGTGAAGTCTGTCATGTTGGGTCCAGTGCCTCAACCACCATGCCACAGCTGGTCCCATTATACCAGTATAATTTAATCCTTAATGATTTCACTATCTTACCAATCTTTAATAGATACAGTCACCATCTAACTAGGGAAAATGTATTCTTATAGTGTGAGTCATTGTGTCATGAAAAAATACAGGATTAAAAAACAGAGGGGAAGAGTTTTATACTCTGTGTTTCTATATATTTTGATTTGAATGTGTCTCTTATATAACTTTTGTTTATTTTGTAATACATAAAAGCTCTGTCTTATTCATTAGCTATTTGTTTTTCTCAAAACATATTGGACATTTTTTAATCTAGTTTACAGTTGAGAAAATGGAAGTTCAAGGAGGTTACAGGACTTTCTCAAGATCACTCAGGCTGTAAATTATAGATCCAGAAATACTGACGTAAGAATAATAAAATGATCGTGTTTACTTCTCTGGTTTATGATGAGAGTACAACTGAATTATTCATCTATAAGCACTTTGCCACTTATAATGGTTCTTTACATTTTTGTTGTTGTTGCTCCTACTGCTAAATAGGGGAGGTTAAAAAACATGAACTTATATTTATTCATGTATGAAGGATCTTCAAGAAGTGCAAGGAAAGTGTACATGATGAAAAAATCTATGATGGCTGCCCAAGCAGTTTGAACAGTGGCTGCAGGAACTTGAAAAACGTACCAGACACATGTTTGTATGCCCCAAATCTCGACAGGATGGAGAAATGGAGAAGGGATTGCGATGTGACCACACTCCAGTGGGGAGTGATTTTGCCCTCTCTCTCTGTCTCTGCTCTCTGTCTTCTCTTTCTGATGAATACATGCAAAGTTCAGAAGAAAAAAAGAGAAAAAAAGAAAGAGAAAACAATGCATGGATTTCAAAAATATTTTTTTATCAAGATAAACTCATACATTAATTTCATTTTTCCCCCAAACTTTTTGGAGTATCCTCATATACAAATTGAAAGGCACTGCCATGCAAACTTATATGTCTATCAGTTGAATTAATGAAGCAAATTTGATTTTATCTACATTTATTGTGTTTTGATTTTGAGATCTATGTTCGTTTTCTTATTGTTATTAAGATGCTACATGCAGGATTGCCTGAGCTAACTGGAATCCAGGATCTGAAATACGTGTATAATAATCTTCGTCCACAAGACACAGACCTGGAAGCAACAAGTCATTTTACCAGGTAAGATGAGCTGTGATTGTGTGAGTGTTCATGCATGCATGAGCACAGGCAAATGTTCCACAGTTGAGATCACTGCAAGTTGACCAGTCTTTAGCATAAAACAATCATTTCTAGAGCTCATTCTTTTCCAAAGAACAGAAAGAGAGCAATGTGCATGCCTAGCAGAAGGCCTTAGTCTATAGCATGCTACTGTTTGCTAACCAGCCTCTTCATCTAACAGATTGCTCAATAAGAGGTCATTGACAAGAGCAAGGGCTGACACAAATAAATTGGTTGTTCTAGTTGAACTATATCCAAAAAACAATTTAGAAAAAGATTTATGATGAGATATGGACTCACTACTTTTATCTGTAAAACAATACAAATATTAGAATATTTGATCAAAGGCCTGTGACTGTCTTCTATATTTCATTTATTTTTCATTAAGCAAGTCTAGGAAAATGCTAATGTATATGAAGGAAAGAGTTTAGACAAAATACGGTGAATATCAATCAGGCTCCAAATCATTGTCAAAAGGAATGCATTTTATAATATAAAATCCCTTTGAGGGACTAGCAGATGGCATAATGGTAACATTGCTGGACTCACAAGTAGTCAACCATGGTTCTAATCCGAACCCGGAAGCTTAAAACTAACACCAGGCATGTGTGCATGTGTGCCCGAGTGGAGGAGAAGGGATTACAGCATAATCATTCCACTTGGGAGATGATTTCTCACTTCTATCTCTCTGTCTTTCTCTGTGTGTCTGGCAAACATATGTGCCCTATAACAAAAATCTCTCTCTCTCTTAAAAAAAAAAAAAATTCCTCAGGGAACTAGCAGTTGGCATAATGGCTATGTTGTTGGACTTCCATGTAGTCGATAACGGTTTGAGTCCCGGACCTGGTGGCTTAAACTCATGCCAAGTGCGTGTGCATTCGTGCCCAGTATCTCTGGAGGAGAATGGAGGAAAAGGGATTGCAGCGTGGCCATCCCTTCTGGGGGGTGATTTCTCGCTTTCTGTCTCTCTGTCTTTCTGGCGAGTGCACGCACCCTATAACAAAACAAAAACAAAAAACAAACAAAAAAAAAAACTTCTCCAAAAAATAAAAATCCTTTTGAACTTTTTTCTTTGAAGAACTACTATAATCCCTGGCAGGTTCTTGGTGCTCAATAAATGTTAGTTATAATTATTATCCTAATAACTAGTCAATGTATAAAAACATAAAGCATTCTTTATTTCCTGTGTCCTCTTAAAGAATCTCATTTAAATTTAATCTATAGTTGTTCCAATATTTTCAACTGGAAATTTATAAACACAGATTATATTCTTTTTTTAATTTTTATTTTATTTATTTATTTATTTATTTATTTATTTTGGAGAGCTTTTCGCTATAGGGCGTGTGCGCTCACCAGACAGAGAGAAACAGAGAGACAGAAAGCGAGAAATCACACCCCAGGGGGCATGGTCACGCTGCAATCCCTTCTCCATTCTCCTCTCAGGATCTTGGGCATGCATGCACACTCGCCCGGCGTGAGTTTTAAGCCACCGGGTCCAGGACACGACCCACTGTCGACTACATGGGAGTCAAGCGACATAGCCATTATGCTAACTGCTGGTTCCCAGATTATATTCTTTTTAATGGAATGTATGCTTTAGAAGAAAACAATAATTATAATAAAACCTCTCCCAGGTTTTACTTTTCCTTCTCTTCTCCTTCCAGAATGTAGTGAGGAATCTCTCCCCATTCCAGTGTGAGAGCGAAGGTTCATGGGAATGCTTTATATGCTTGGCGAGTTTTACTTATTGCAGAGACTTCTGTTTCATGAACTTGCATGCAAGGCTGCTCTTGTTCAGCAGCAATGTGACAGAATCACAAAATATTAGAGGTTGGAGTTCCTTTAGAGTTCTTTTTTTTCCTGACAATAAATATTCAGTTGAGAAAACTGAGATCCCGAGAATTAATGGCTAACAGAAATTGCCAGAAACAGAGCTAGGACCCACGTTTCCAATTTTTCTGGTCTGGATTTTCCCAGAATGAAATACTGGAAAGTATATGATGTGATTAAGCAATACCAGGCAGAGCCTCTGGTTAAAAAAAAAAGGGGGGGGGATGAGAAAATTACCTTTCTGCCCTAGTTTTTTTCATTCTACCACGCGAGATTCATTAGGGAAATCTGGCAGGTTTTTCAGGTCTTGAAAAATGCACTTTGATAGTACAATTCCCTCTGAGATAAGTTTTTGTTTATATCCCCTAACAAAATCACAAATAGTTGGCAATCAGCTGTGGCCAGACATTAACTTTGCCACAGTCAAGGTGGCTAAGACTTAGGTAGGTATTTCAGACGCACTGTTTCAAGGCTCAGGAACACTCAAGTTATCTCAACTGATGGGAATGAGTGCCTTGGATGAGAAAACCTAGGAGAAGCCTCCCAATCTAGCCTCAGGAAGAGCAGGACATCATCCCAGAGGCTCTGAGCCCTTCAGAGTGAAGGACAGTTCCAGGGACCACATCAGCAAGAATCTATTCCTTTCACTGCAGCTGCCCATTCATGATCCAGTTAACGCCTTTCAATGTGTATGGGTTCATGTGATATCAAAATACTCCCTCTGGTTATCCCTTCAGAAGATGATCTGAGAAGACTCCTTCCTTTAAAATGGGCTGTAGCATGTAGGCACAATGACAGACAGGTCAGTGGGACTTGTGAGAAGGTTGAGGAGGAACATGAAGAGGGCCAGAAGAGGCAGAGGGAGAAACGCATGCTTGGCTGTATTGCCGATATTTGAGATGTGTTAGTGTCTAGACAGAACAATTATAGTGCTGCAGTTTACTTCCTACCACTTAAAAAAAGAAAAGAAAATCTATGTATTGATTTAGAAGCAAAAGACTTTTTTCAAGTTTTGGCCAAGGAAAAATGTAAACAGGCATTGTTTGTCCCATCTCTTCCCATTCACCATTTCTCTGACACACCCAGATCCGTAAAGAGCATAATCCTGGATTTGGGTGAGCCTGCCCAGGGTGACTCATATCTCCTCCCATCCGAGAAGACACGGGCCAATGTGGGAAGATCTGAGGCCAATAAACTCGCAGTGAGCTAGACCCTGTTCCCCTGCCTGCTCCCTCTACCAGTCTCGTCTTGCCCCCTGTAGACATCATGAAGTTGGCCCCTTCAATTAAAACCTCTTTTTACAATTTTGTGATAAAGAACTTGTTCTCCATTGAAGACATAAAGGGGACCCGCAGGTGGCTTGATGGTTAAGGTGTTGGACACTCCCATATGGCCAACCATGGTTTGAGTCCCAGACCTGGAGGTTTGCTTTCTACCTCTCTCTCTCTCTCTCTCTCTCTCTCTCTCTCTCTCTGCTGGTCAAACTGGGAAATAGTAATAATAAATCAAGCTGAATAAAATGATTATTTTTTAAAAAGGCATCCATTAATGTAAATTAGGAGATGTCATGTCATTTCTCTGCTCAGTAATTATCTTTGATTCACCATTTCCTATCTCTTGCTTTCAAGGACCTTATAGTCACATTGTCTTTGTCAAGGCTTATCTTTATATATTTATATCTCACATATTTAATAACTTTATATACATTGATTTCTTTTGTTTTGATAGGCTAAAGTGTTTGATGCCACTATTTATACCTCCTTTATTCCCATAGCTATCTTTTTCTGGGTAGATTATTTTCTCAATGTAAATTCATGCCTGCTCTATCTCACTCACATTTCTAGACTCACCACAAGTGTTACTATAGAATCATAACATTTCTGAAATAGCAGGGCAACTTGACCTACCTTTCAACCTACCCAGCTCTTGGTATTCTATAAAACTGGTACCTTGTCCATAAAATCTTCTCTGATTATCCCAGTACTTACTGATGTTCTCTTCTTCTATAATTCTATGGGACTTGTCATCTTGTATGCTATATTTAATTTATTACTAAATTACATACTGTTCGGTATATCACCTTACATAACATATTGTTCAATTACATCAATTTCTCTCAGGTAAAACAGGAAGCAAATTTCCACTTCCACATATCTAAAAATATCTGACTGTGAAACAAGTCCAATTTAACAGAAAATGCAAATTAAACATCAAAAAGTTAGTACATGAAAGGTATATGATAATAGCAAACATTTAATACAGCACTTCTTACATGTCAGGCCCAGTTCTAAGTGCTTTTTATATGGTAATGCATTTATCGTAACAACTCTATGAGGTAACAATATTGTGACCGACATTCTTAAATGTGTAATTTGTGACTCACACACACACACACACACACCCTAGAAGTTAAGCAATTTAACAAAAGACATAGCCAGCAGGAGCCATATCCATGATTCGAATCTGGAAGGTGTGATCTAGAATATGTGAATCTTAACCACTAGCCTGTATGCCCCCAAATCACCTCCTCCACATGCAGGCTCTCGAGTATGTGCTGCTTCTAAATCCAGACCACCATTTTCAGCATTCCTCGGTGCCGGCATAGATAGCAGCTTGTCCAAAACAGAACCTTCGCTCTTTCCCAGGCACTAATCCTCAGACCCTGAATCCTCCAAGCGTCAGCCGAGGACTGAAGCCCTTTCCCAGAACGATGTATCTCACCGCTACAACAAAGAGTCCCTTGAATGTTTTGTTCAAGGTCTGTAGTAATTGCTGCCATAGTAGACCCCTCTGAGACAACTTGGCCAGTGACTCCCTGGAAGTAATCTTTTCTTTTTTTTTCTGTTTTAGTCCATTCTTAGATACAGATACCTCTACATTATTTCCCCTAGAGAAATCTTGCATGAAACGTGCTCTCCTTAACTTCCAAGCACCTGTCACCATGGTATATTTTATTCTAAAGTCTCCAATACACACCTTTATTTTAGCTAGAATTTAATGTGCATATAGTGTATCTATGCAATGGTTTTCTAAATTACTTGGTGTATATTGGTGTGTATATATATATATATATATATACCCACACACATATATATGTATATATATATATGCATACACACATATATTCATAC